AGCGGTCCGTCCGGAGACGCCGGAGTAGCCAGCGCCAGCCAATCAAATCCCGTTTCGGAAAATCTGACGAGATATCCCGCCGTTCATTTCTATATTTCAAAAAAAGATGGAGGAGAAACTAAATATCGCCGTAGCAAATCACCTGGTTTTGTATGACCAGACCCTCTTCACCTACCCGGATACAAACCGGAGGAACCAGGCATGGAGGGAGGTGGCAGAGACAGTGGGTGAAACTGGTAGGTTTTCGCCTGTTTGGGGAGTTTATATATATATTGCTCCCATAAAATCCCCGGGGGTTTTTGCTTTGTATGTCGGGGGCGGGAGATTCATGTGATTGGTTGTTGGTCACGTTGCTTGAATAACATCCCCAAGCTTCAGACACGCCCAGCTCCAAGCTTTTTTTTAAGCTGTAGTGTGGACGCTCCGTTACATTACGGCCCGTCTACACTACAGGCGTCAAAAAATGCTTTCAACGCTTCGCCCATTCATTTGAATGGGGTGACGTAGGATATTTTCAAACTTCGCCGAACTGCATTGTGGGTAGCATGGCAAGGCGTTGCAAGCATCGCGAGCGTCTATCGGCGTCAAAAGTTGAACAATGTTCAACTTTTGAGGCTCGATGCTTGCTCGAAGCTGGCGTCAGCCAATCAAATCCCGTTTATGCAAATTCCGCCAGTACAAGCGCTAGCCAATCAAACCGCGTGCAAGCTGGGAGAGCCAGACCGCAGTTCATTTCCTCATATTCCAAACGAGAAATTACGGTAGCAAATCACCCGGTTCTTTACGACCAGAACTATTTACCGGGATACAAACCGGAGGAGCCAGGCATGGAGGGAGGTGGCAGAGACAGTGGGTGAAACTGGTAGGTTTTCGCCTGTTTGGGGAGTTTATATCCAGTTTACTTCGTTTTAACATTGCTATTGCTTTGTATGTCGGGGGCGGGAGATTCATGTGATTGGTTGTTGGTCGCGTTGCTCGCAAAAAATCGCCAAGCTTCAGACACGCCCAGCTTCAAGCTTTTTTGACGCCTGTAGTGTAGACGGGCCGTAATATGTGTAATGTGTACTTGTAAAGCGCTTTGAGCACCTGTAAAAGCGCTCTAATAAAAAAATGTAATGCATTATTATTATTATCATCTCACTTTCAATTGGTCTGTACTTGTTATTAATGAAACTGATATTGATGAAACTGATTTGCTTGACTGTCTCAAATTGTAATGATTGTATGCATTGCTTGAATTTTACTTAACAGACTGTATGTGGTTTGTCTTGTGTGTCATGTTTTGCATTTTGTCTTTTTGTTTATGTATGTCTGTAAGTTGTTGCTATTGTCGGGACCCCCTTGAAAACGAGATGGTGCATCTCAAGGGGTTTATCCCAATCAATAAATGTTTTGATTTAATAGACAGCAGATTATTTGAGTGTTGATTAGTGGAACACTTTATCAAATTCTGATGTGTTTTTGGCTGTCCTGTCGTCTACTAATTGTTAATATAATGAATGCAGTCATCCTCAGGGGAAAAGACCAAACCACAGGCCTGTTCATACACACACTCAAACCACTCGGGTTACACCCCCCAAACATTATGACATCATTATGCGATAACTATAGTTATTAATCAATACTTATTAAACTCTTATGACAGAGGGCAATATTTCATTTTAACAGTATTTTTAAGAATAATACAGCCAATTAATTTAATTGGCATTCATTTAAAACCACATCACATAGGAATGAACAACCATTGATGTTTTTTTTTACCTTTATTAAAGGAGCAATCAATTGTTTGCCTCAGAAACACAACACGCATGCTCAGCCTTTAGATTTGCATGTCCAGTAACTGTATGACTTTACATCTTATCAAGACCATATGCAGCAATAAAATGTCTGCTGCTTAACATTTTGAGTCAAGCTTACGCCCTTGCGCTCGATTGCATTCACAAGCTAGTCGCCACAGCTCCAAACTGGGTCGATAAGACCAGTGAGACAAAACCCCCCAAAAAGTAGTTGCAGGTCGTAAACCAAAAAAAAGTGCGGAAACATGAGTGCTCCGAAAGTCTGATGGAAACGGGAGTGTCAGGTGTTAACTCTCTTTAGGTTTGTCACTATGTGCAACACCTTTCACATGAGCCTCATTTGTGATGTCATTGAGTCACATAGTGTAAAAGCCATATTGTCTATTTTTCTTCCCGGAATGATATACATTTTGCCCGGGGTGAAAATAAAGTTTAATCCCAATACTTTGTCAATCTGGTTTTCATTTTAACTGGAATATACCGTACAGGCTTATTCAGTTTTCCTGCAAACATTTTATCAGTACAGGCAGAAAATAAACTTCTATGAGATTCAAGCCGTCATCAACAAGCTGCTAGCTACTAACAATAGTCATGTTTGCTTTTTACCTTAATTATGATATGTTTACAGTTATTGTGATCATTTGGGGGAGTGGCTTTGGACAGAGACTCTAAGGAACAGGGTGCCATTGTTGCTAATTTGGCAACTTTCTCACTAGATTAAGCAGTTTTTGGAGACTTGGTTGCTAGCTTGGGTTTTTTTCTTTTCAGTTTCATTATTTGAAAAAAATCAGAGTACCAAAGGAACCAGAATGACCAAATCAGAGTAACATACAGAATGCTGAAGTCACTAAGGGGGCAAATCACACAGATATTGAGCACTGCAGTTTCTTGATATCACTGATATATTCTATAGTTCAGCTGAAATGACTGCTGAAAATAGAACAACATACAAGGTAACATGTTGTCCTCAGTGAACGGGCTGATCAGTAAAGCACATGTTGTTGTTTTTACTAAGGAATGGAATAACCGATAAGGAGCCATCGTACTTCTATTGAAGTGTTTTTCTCTTTTGTCTCGTGATATTATTGAGACTGCAGATGGAGAACAATCCATATTTCCCTCATCTAGTTGGGGGGCAGGTCCACTCCACATGTGGTGAGCATTGGGTTTGAATAAGATTTAGTAGTGACTGAAATCAATCTCACTAACAGCCACTGTGAGATAATCTGTGAACCTCAGACATGACGTGTTGGAGTCAACCTGGCCACTGTTTATTAATGAGCTCCTCAGACTCACCACAGTTATGTTGCTGGATGCTTTCAAAGACATGATGTAATCAACCTTCTCAAAGCCGTCAGATTGCAGCTTTACTCTTTGCTGCGCAGCCTGCAGATCACTTTGTAATTAATCTAAGATGCTATTGTCACAGTCATAAAAGCTAGAGTGTTTGAGAGTGAGTCAGCGGTCACATTCACAGAGTTCTTCTGGCCTGCCGAGGAAGTTGTGTTGGAAATATTAACTCCCTCGTGAGGCCAAGCGCAAGTCAGAATCATTAGCGGGCTCATGCCCAGCATTTGTGGTATGGATATCTCTTTCTCTGAGTCTCGAGAGCGAAGTTCAAACAAAGGCAGCAAAGCTATCGGAGCAATGAGTGGTTTAGCAGAAGGAAGTTGGTTGTCTAATGTCTACAGAGAGGTTTGTGAAGAGGTATGCTTGCAAGTTTTCCATGATTGCATGTTCAAATCACAATAAATACCCCCCTCTGTTAAGCTCCTGAGCCCCGAGGTAAAAATGTTCTGTTGCGCTTCCAGATGCGATTGACATTTAGCGATCCTGGCTAGGTGCTCGCAGTGTAAAATAGGCCGTTGTGGTGGCTCTCACCGAGTCCTCCCGCTGCAGAGCTGAGTGATTCAAACTGTATCATACCTGAAGTCAGGGGCGGACTGGGGGGAAAAAGTGGCCCGGGGATTAATTGACAGACAGGCCCACTTAATGCGCGGATGTATCGGCCGGCCGGCGACGAAAGTATGTTACTTAACAAAAAACCCTATGTATTTTATGTTATTTTGGACCATTATTCATATAGTCATCACATTACCTGAGCTCTTGAGTTGCCTAAGCAAAATAGTTACAGCATATATTTAGTGATTTTAATGTTAACAGATCATTGATGCAATAACATTTGGACCCAATTTGCCTGACTTGACGCATGGAATAAAACATGGGCGTAGGAAGCATCCTCAATGTGGGTGAGACAATTTGACAGGGGGTGTGGGCAGGTGGTGGACCTCACCTCCTCTAGGGGGGTCCGGGGGCATGCTCCCCCGGGAAGATTTGTTTTAAAATGTTGAAGTTAAATGCATCAATCTGGTGCATTTTGAGAGCAAAATTAGGGACTAAATCTATGGATACATCTCTCAACACCAATATGAAACAGAACTGTAAACAGATTTACTTTTTCTTTCAACATTTATTTGAACAGCAAGTGGAGGCAAAAGTGACTGCACCCAGAACAATAAACCTGCTCGCTAACTAGCCTAAACTCAGTAACAGAATGTGGGTTCTGAATGAACGTTCTTCTCCACAGCCGTGCGACCTCTGAGTCAGACGTCACTTCCCCCTTTTCTATCCTACGGGTGCAGCCACTCCCCCTGAACCCCGTTTCCCCCCCCCTCCCCTATGCAAGCCCCTCCCTCTGAACCCAGGGCTCGCTACAATACTGTATACACATACACAACAACAAAAAACACTAGAGGGCAGGGCAACATACTTATAAACAATAAGCCCTGTCAATACTTCCCTCTCTACCCTTTTGGGTCTATAAGTGAGCTCATCCATGTGTTGCTTTTAAAAGGAGGAGGCTGGGTTGAAGTGGTTGATTTTGACATTGGGAGCAAGGTTGTAGAAGTCAGTCCCCTCTGGAAAAAATAGGGTGGCCTATGGGTGAGAGACAAAACATATATGCATGTTATGTACACATTATCGAAGAGATACTGACATCCACCTGAAGCCTTCATTAGAACAAATGTCATGTTTTTAATGTTGTTTAATAGTCTGCAATAATCACTAATTTATTAGTGTCAAGATTGGGAAGTCACATAGTAATAAATGTAAATGTATTATTACCTCACTGAATTAGTAGTTTCTGCAGCAGCTCACTTTTCTCTGCAACACCATCTATAATTTGGTCATTATCCAGCATCTTCAAAACATCTGGTTGAGTAGCCATGAGCATAAAGGACTCCAGGTTCTGTTGAGAGAGCGAGCTCCTGAGCCTGTTTTTGATGAATTTTAGTGTTGAAAAGCTTCGCTCGCATGCTACCTGTATGACAGACAGGGTAAGCAGGAACCTGTATGCAAGGCCAATGATGTGGTATGCATCTGTCAGGAGGTTGTACTGCTTAAGGATACGGTAGCAACACAATGGGCAGTCCTTGCAAGATGAGCACTTTTTATATACCATCTCCGCTTCATCTTCAGCATCCTCTGGCCCAGCCTCTGTTGTCTTGGTTGTGTATTCCTCAAATACAGATGTCTTCAACCTATTCCACTGTCCTGCCAGACTGATGAGCTCACTCTGTAATTTGGCCACCGTTGCTCTGTCATCAAATGGCAGCAAGCACTTGCTTAATTCTTGGAGTGCTGCCTCTGGGAAACCACCGGCATAAGATGTTACCTGGCTGAATCTTTTTGGGTCCAGAAGTGCCAAATCAGCATACAAAGTGCCATTTTTGAGGAAGCGCTGGTGCATGCTTCCTGTGACTGTGTCCATGATTTGATTATGGACATCAATCTTGTATGATGTTTCAGCATCAGTCACAGCCTCATCCTTGGACATCTCTCCAGGCATGGTTTTCTTCTTTCTACCCCGTTTCTGTGGCAGAGCGGCCTCAACCTCCAGCTCAGTCTCCTCACTCTGCTCCTCTGTTTGATTGTTGGCCCACTGGACGAATGTGGCGGCCGCCGTCTTGACTTTCTCGAAGTCTCTGGTCATATCTTTCAGCTGTGTTTCTGCAGCCACAATCATCCGATGAGCTGTCAGGATGTCCATTCCACTTTTCTGAAGGTATTTTGAGACTGGTGAGGTGACCTGGAAAATTCTCAGGAAGATCTGAGCTGTAAGTATTGTTTCATACCTCAGAAGCTGGGTGATGTATCCACGTGCATTGACCCGTGCAGTGGCGTTGATGGTCTGTCCATGTTGAATGGCGGAGAGGGTATGAAGGACATCAACATACAGGGCATTATCTGGCTTTCCAAAAGAGCCAAATACCTTAGTCACAGCAACGTCTTTGGACCACCAGCGTGTCTCTCCAATCGGGGCGAGACGTCTGTGTCTTGGGTCTTTGCTCTCCTTCTCCCAGATGTTCATCCTCTGGTAGGACACTCTGATGAAGACAGCGATGTTGTTCAACAGGGAAAAAAGAGACCCACTTGCCAATACACATTGTGTTGTGTCTGCCAGGACGAGGTTCAGGACGTGTGCGTAGCACCATACATGGACATGGGTGGGGGACATTTTGGCGAGCAGTGCAGAGAAGCCTTTATATTGGCCTTGCATATTGGAGGCCCTATCGGTGGAATTTCCAATACACTGCCTCACATCCAGTTTCATGGTCTCCAGTACTTCATTCACAACAAGTTGTGCAAAGTACTGCCCAGTGGATGCCTCACATTTAATCACAGCAACAAGTCGCTCATGAACAATGTCTGTCACATATCGTATGACAACAGAGCACTGATCTTGGGCTGTGATGTCCTGTGTGGTGTCAATCTGGACAGAATACATGCCAGATTCCCGGACTTCAGTGGCGATGGTGGCCTTCATTAGGCGTTGGATGGTGGTGATGATGTAGTTGATGGTTGTTTTGGATAGGAGAGTGACAAGGGAACCTCTACCTTGTCTTAAACCAGACTGGTGTATTTGCTTGCTCTTTTCTATACAGAGAGTGAGGTGTTCCTTGAGACACACATCATATTTTCCCAGCAAAACAATCATCTCTAAAAAGTTACCATGATCAATGGTGTCATCATCTAGTGTATATAATGCCTCCGCCTGCGTGCCCCTGTAGCTCAAACCCCTTTGACCAATGAGTTTCAACACATCTATGATGCGCTCCAACACTTGACGCTTCCTGCGGACTTCCTCTCTGTGACGTGACATCTGAGGTCCCATGAGAAGGTCCTGAATTGTGTTTTTTGAGAATCTGAGGAAATATGCCTCAGCGCAACCTCTGTGAGCATGGCTCTGCTCATGCTCCTCGACTCTCTGATGTATGTGTGTGAAGTTGGTCATGCCAGTGATGAAGGAGTTGCTATCTCTAGGATTAGCAAAAGCCATACAAAGGGAGCAGAAGAGTACTTCTCTGGCTTCACTGTATGATAGCCATTTCCTGTTTGTGCCGTCTTTGCAAAAAAAAGCCCTCTGCACTACAGCCTTGTCTGCCTTCTGCTGGGGGTGAAAACGGAAGAATAGGTCTAATGTGCCTGACATCGGCCTGGTGAAATAATCAACTGGGGTGGCACTGACATCCTGGCCTTGACTAACTCTGTCAGTGTCAGCAGCAGGATCATCTTCAGCCTACATAAATGATTAGTATTGATTAGTATGTTACGTTATTATGTTACCACCATGTTATTATTATGTATGTAAACCAAGTAAAGTCTTAAAGACAGTAACAGGCTAATTTCCACCAGACAGTAACTTTAGTTGCAGGTTGACAAATAATGGACCCTTTATTATTTTTAGTATTAATAAGGTAACCTCTAAGCTAATCAAACAAAAGACAGTATAAGCAATCATAGTAGTCTCATTGATTCACCAGCCCAAGTCAAGTGGCTATAATGTTCAAATAGATTACCGTTGTCAATGAGTGAAGCAAATCTACCAGCAGCTTGCATATTTCACCAGAATTTGGTCAGTGAATGGTGTTAATTTTACCCTGTCCCTGTGAACACACAATGTACTGTAGGCAATAGGCTAGCTAGCTAATGCATTAGCTGTCCCTGTGAACACACAATGTACTATAGGCAATAGCCTAGCTAGCTAGAAATAGGCTAGCTAGCTAATATTACCTCATCTGCTACATTAAAAAGCAAGCTAGCATTAGCCAAATGAGGATTTTCACTTTCAGCATCAATCATAACATTAACTTACCATCATATCACTGCTGGTACTGGGCTCTAGATGCCGCTGTGCTGTGTCAGTTTCATTGCTGGACTCACTGCCACTGGGAATGGCCGCTGTGTCGGCTAACGTTACATCAGCTTCTCCGGTGGTGGTTGTACTACAACTAGAACCAGCTGCAGGACCAAACGAAAAGTCTGTAATTTTTTTTGATTTTGCTGAACCTTCCTCAAGTGCTTTCATTTTTTTATCCCTAAGTTTTTGTGCACCTCCTTTACGCTTTGGAGCTTGTTTATCCATCAGTAACTCACTCCTGATCTTTCACTGCGCAGTGACAGCTCCTACGGGCCTGATGGGGAGTGGCCGGCCCGGAACACTTACAAATGTGGGCCGGTAGGATTTAGTTAAGCAAAAAAAAAAAGGGAGTGGCCGGTATACTTACAAATGTGGGCCGGTAGGATTTAGGCAAAAAATAAATAAATAAATAAATGTATTTATTGTTTTGGCCCTCCGGCCCACGCACAGCACCGGCCCACCGGGGAAACTCCCGGTATTCCCGATGGCCAGTCCGCCCCTGCCTGAAGTTGAAGTGAAGTCTGCTTGGTGTTTTGCCTTGATAAAACCACACTTTGGCACTTCCTTGACACATAAGCCCTCCACATGCGTGTTTAAATTATGTTTATATTCAATTTGCGGGAAAGTTCACAAACAGTGCGATGTTTCCTGGAATATAAAGGACACTTTTAGCCTTTTCAAGAAAACAGGTACATTCTTCTTGAGTTTACATTTGTATTTATTGCCCCTGCTGTCTCCATGCGCTCACTTTGGAAAACACTAGATAACTTTGTCATAAACTCAGTGGTACGGTAAATGAAATGGTGGGAATAAAGGCAGAAACAGCAAGTGTAAAACGCCTCATGGCAGTCCTATAATTATTTGAGCTGTAGATGGTTTGCAGTGTAGACAGACACCATATGGAATTGTATTTGTGGAAAACAGAAAATGTGTACATTCTTGCTGTGTCATGTTCTTACTTTGTGTCTGACACAAATGAATACTTTGCCTCAATGTAAAATTCATGCTTAGACGACCCACGAGGTCAACAAGACCGTAAGAGAGAACTGGACGCAGGAGGCTGCTTGTTAATCCCACAACTTTCCAGGAGTTTTTTTTTCTTTAGCTTGGTTGAGTAGACTTTTTGGCTGTTGGTCCTCTATTACTGTAGAAGGTATAGGCACAATCAGCTTTTCCATGTGGTGGACATTCCAGGCTACATCTGTTTCCAATATAACCACATGTCCAGCTGTTTCAGGCCTATAGGCTACCAGTCTTTTCCCAGACAATCCACGGCAGAAATAAACGTGAATGGCATTAACATTGAGAATACAAATGTAATGATATACTACATTTAATATTATTCTTGCAGCATATGCAGAAGCATATCTGGTCAAAACAATGAGGAAAGATGATATTCTGCTACAAGTGCAATATAGAATCTAAGCGTTTTTTAACATGCCACATCTGAACTCACTTGTTTACACCTTTTTATCACGGTAATCTCGCTTTTTTATTGAAGTAGAGTCCAGGAGGTTGTCATTTGCGTTTAGACGTTAAATTAATTATAGCTCTCTGAGGAAGGAAGTGAATATAGATCTTAGTGAGACATCTGCTTTGGATGTACACTTTAAATCAAAAGAAACATCCATGTATTTTTCTTGTCTAACCACAGCCTTATGATGAGCATCACATCCCCTCAATGTGTTATTTCCTTCATTCTACAACTACAGTTGTGAGATAAAAGCTGCATCAGATATCAGTAGCTAGCACTCGGCCTCTGTCGACAGTTACAATATATGGAGAGGAGACAAGGGTACACAGGGTACAGTGTCTTCTCTCATTGCTATAGTATTTCAAAGACCCCCAGCAGATTTACTCTGGAACGTTTGATGTTGGTTGTCGTATGTTTTTCATAGAAAAGCTCAGAAAAGGTTTTTATCAGTTGTGGAAGAACCACATGTTTACTTGCCAAACCAAGAAGTTAGTCACAGCATTATTTTCTCGTGTAAAACCAAAAAATACGGTCCCAATTAAGCATACATTTCACCTCTGTGTCACCTGACTGACTTACTGGTTGCTTATTGAGGAATGGTGGTTCTCACTAAGGTCGCGTTCACACCAGCCTTGTTTAGTATGGTTGAATGGAACCCTGGAGGCTCTAACCCCTTGGTGCGGTTCGTTTGGGTTGGTGTGAACGCAGTCCGAGACCTCTGATGTGAACTAAACAACTGGACTCTGGTCCGCTTAAACGAGGTGGTCTCGGACCGCTAGTGAACTCACGAGCGGTTCATTGCCTGTGTGAACGCAAACCGAACCTTCTGAAAAATGAAACAATGTAACAAACTTGCGACTAGTGCACACCAAGAAGGTGTGAATGTGACCTAATCGGAAACAGGTTTTTTACCAGGTAGGTATACACGTACGAGGAATTTGAATTGGTGTCGTGGTGCATAAAAACAAGAATTAAAAACACAGATAAAGAACTAGAAAAAATATTTAAAATAATTAAAAAAATATAGTAAAATGAGACTGTATTTACATTGCAATGGAATGAAATAGAGGAATAAAATATGGAATAAAAATCAGCTGTAATACAAAATAATGTTGTACATTATGTGCATTAATGTAATGCATAGAGTCTATGATGTGGCTGAGGTAAATGTCAGTGGGGGGGCCGGGCCTTGTTTATGAGGCCGGTAGCGGAGGGGAAGAAACTGTTCAGGTGACGAGAGGTTTTGTTCCTGATGTAGCGCAGCCTCCAATAACCAGTGTTTGTTTTGAACTCTCTGGCCTCAGGGGGCTGTAAAGAGCTTCTTGCACCAAAATAACACACTGCACTCGAACAAATTACTTGGATAGGCTACACAAAGTATTGATTAATACTTTCTACCATACAATAGATAAAAGGCTCATCTTAAATCTGAGACGTGCAGGTATGAGCACAACTTTATGACATCAGATATAGTTTGGAGGCCAATCCTGATCCAAAACAAGCTGTACACACAACTCTCACACCACTTCTTTGCATATTGTTTCATACTTTCCCTCCAGCAGATATGGAGCAACATTACCATTCATTGGGAGTCATGTTTCTAGCCACCTGATTAATGTCTTCCATTCATGTCCGAACAAGTTATTTAATCGTTTATTTGCTGTTTGCTTCCCAGCAGACCTGACTTTGATCGTTTTATAATTAAAACAGAATTCCAAGACTTGGTTTCTCAAGAGTCAGGTTTCTTCCAGATAGTTAATAGAAGGATTTGGTTTACAATATGTCCAAAGCATCAAATGTAAACACATACCTCAGAACAGTCTTGTGTCAGTCTCTTATCAGCAGTATGGCGCGACCCCAGCAGAACTTACTGATGATTCCTCACACACTGAGTTTGCCAGTTGTTGCTGAAAATAAACAACATTATCACCAACTCTATTTAAAGCACCCAATCCATAAAACAAGGGCACTCTGTTAGGATCTGTCTGTGTTGGTGTTTTTCTTGTCTTTTTCTATCTTTGGGTTTCCTGTTTTATTTTGTAAAGTGTTCACCCCCGTTTCCTGCCTGTTTGCTTTCTGTCTGTTTCCCTCCCTGATTACCCGATTGTGTTCACCTGGTACCTCTGTGTTTTCTCCTCCCTCCTCACCTGTCTCGTGTTGATGTGATTAGTCCTGGGTGTATTTAAGTTCTGGGTTTTCTGTCTCTCTTTGTTGGGTTGTCTTGTGTAATGACCAGTTTATCAGTGAGTGTTCCGTTCTGTCTCTATATATTATAGCCTTGAAATAAAGGAGTTATTTTCGTTATATCTGCATTTGGGTCCTGATTCCTGCACACCGTAACATTACAACCCGACCAAAATATGGGCCCAGCAGATCCTTTTGAGCAGGAGCTATTGGAGTTTTCCTTTGCTTTGGATGACTGCTCGTATCGATGGTTGGGAGCGTCCAGGGTTCAGCAGCGAGAGGCTGTTCTGGCAGAGGCACGCCGGATTACTATGGAGAAGCCAGGCTTGGTTAAATTGTTATCGGGCAGGATTTTGGATTTTCTCACGGGGTGTTATCCCCTGCCTAACAGTCCCAGGCCTCCCAACTCCCGTTTTGATACCACACGCATCGGTGTGGTCCGTCTGGCGTCAGCCCCTGCTTCTCACCCAGTGTTTGCTACAGTCCAGGAGCAATTCGCTGGTACTCGTCTGGCCTTTGGAGGTCCACGGAGCCTCCAAACGGCTCCTAAAGGAAGGAGTCGCAAGGCCAGGTTGGCAGCACGAGCCCAAAGGGCCATGGTTCCAGAACCAGTTCAGCCTCCAGCAGCCATGGTTACAGACCCAGTTCTGGCCCCAGCAGCCATGGTCCTTGCTCCAGAACCGGTCCCGGCAGCCATGGATTCCGCTCCAGAGCCGGCCCATACAGCCATGTTTCCGGCTCCAGAACCGGACCTTACAGCCATGTTTCCGGCTCCAGAACCGGACCTTACAGCCATGTTTCCGGCTCCAGAACCGGACCTTACAGCCATGTTTCCGGCTCCAGAACCGGACCTTGCAGCCATGTTTCCGGCTTCAGAACCGGACCTTACAGCCATGATTCTGGCTTCAATTCCGGCTCCAGAGCCGGCCCATTCAGCCATGTTTCCGGCTCCAGAACCGGACCTTACAGCCATGTTTCCGGCTCCAGAACCGGACCTTACAGCCATGTTTCCGGCTCCAGAACCGGACCTTACAGCCATGTTTCCGGCTCCAGAACCGGACCTTGCAGCCATGTTTCCGGCTTCAGAACCGGACCTTACAGCCATGATTCTGGCTTCAATTCCGGCTCCAGAGCCGGCCCATTCAGCCATGTTTCCGGCTCCAGAACCGGACCTTACAGCCATGTTTCCGGCTCCAGAACCGGACCTTACAGCCATGTTTCCGGCTCCAGAACCGGACCTTACAGCCATGATTCTGGCTTCAATTCCGGCCCCCGCAGCTATGGTTCCAGACCCAGCTCTGGCCCCAGCGCTGGCCCCAGCTGCCACAGTCCCATCTCAAGTTTCCTCTCGAGTCCCATCTCAAGTTTCCTCTCGAGTCCCATCTCAAGTTTCCTCTCGAGTCCCCTCTCCAGTTTCCTCTCAAGTTCCTTCTCGAGTCACCTCTCGAGTTCCATCTCTAGCCTCTTCTCGAGTCACCTCTCGAGTTTCCTTCTCTAGTTCCTCCTCTAGTCTCTCCTCTAGTCCCCTCTGTAGTCCCTTCTCTAGTCCCTTCCCTAGTCCCTCCTCAGGTCACTTTCCTAGTCCCTTCTCTAGTCCCTACTCAATTCCTTTCTCAAGTCCCTCCTC